GACGACCTCATGGTGATGAAATTACGTCATGTTAGTGAGAAAAAATTATTGCTGTTGCTACATCCTCGTCGGGAATCGCACCCGAGACCTTCGACTTTACGCACCAATACGTTGAATCCAAAGGTCCCGGGTTCAATTCCCGGCGAGGGAGTGACAACAGTAACAATTTTTTTTCATTAACTTGAGGTAATTTATAGTGGATTTTCACATCAATATTTAATATTAATCTCTATTGAATTTCAAAGTGTTTCTTTAAGATTGTACTAGTTCTTTTTTCATAGTTTCAAATCAATATATATATGTATCTCGCTTTGATAGGTACGTAAGAAATTTATGATTTACACAATAACTTTTCTATTCGATTGTTTTAATCATACTATTGAATAGTCACTGTTTCTGTAATTAATTACCAAGTAAACCGTCAAATGCATTAGTACGCCACAAGTTAATATTATTACGTAATGTACGGCAGCTTTTCAGACCCGTGTTAACACACCTAACCTATTATGAATTATGTTCTGTCTCAAAGAAATAGTGTGAAAGACAGGTCGGTGAAGGAAGGAGCTGAAATAAATCTTTCCATGTGCCAGACTGTCGCTGTAAGGAGACAGCTCGCCGTACTGTCTTCATCTGCTTTGACGACGATGATGGTGCATTCATAAAAAGCCATAATATTATACGTATGTATAAAGAAAATCCGAATATGAAAAGAATAAACTGTTTTTACATTTACATGCTCGGTATTTATTCAATGACGACAGGATGTTACAAATCTATTACTTCCCGGAAAGTAGCATTAAAATGATTCTTGCTTGTGTTTTCACAGGTTTTTGTTGTTGAAATTGTCCGGGGTTCCTTATAAGGAAGTGTCGGATTCTAATAAAGCACTGTATGATTTCTTACACCTTTTGAATTGTAATTTTACTAAATCAAAATCCATATGGGTGCTATAAAAATAGAAAATCGCTTTGGGGTTCCACTGTCACTATAAATTTCGGGAATGTATACATCACTTTTAAAGCAGTTCTCTCAAATAACAGAATTATGCTGACCATTGGCAATAGTTGAAATCGTTAATTTTTTGGTTCTAAAATCTGCGACTGGTATTTATTGAAATAGCATAAAGTTAAAAGCTAAAACACAACATCAAACAAACGTTAAATGGAAATCGTAGCGGGATATCGGCAACTTTTCAGTTTTGTTCGTAAAGTTGCCAACAAATTAGTATGAAATGTAACTTTTAAAAAGTTCCATTTTCAATACTGATAATCATTTGACAGAATCACTCCAACAGTAGCATTATATTTGACGGTTTCTTCCCATTTTGTATTGATTGTTAAACGTGTAGGTTAGAAGCGTTCATAATGTAGTGTTTTACAGGCCAATGATTACGATACCGCGGATAGAAAAGGTTAGAAATGAAGAGGTGTTAGAAAGAGTAGGAGAACGGAAGGCGCTATGAGAACCTTACGATGATAATGATGATATGTATACTTCAACTTTATCATCACTAAGAATGATGGAATACATACCCAGCTTCTGCCCTAGGGGGGGGGGGCAAGTCAGATTTTTTTAGATCAGATCGTCCGCGGCTGTTTTGTCATACACACTACGCAAAGGCACCTATGTATATGAAAAATTATGTATGTAAAGGGCAAACAATCGCAAATGATCCTGCTTTATAGGTGGTATGTCAAAATGCTACGAAACAAATAAAAATTTGGAAAAACGTTCCTCATTCAATTCTAAAACTCCTGTAAAAATTACAAATCGATTCACTAAACCGTTAAAAAGTTATTGAAATTTTAAAAAATTGTAATTTTACACGTCATTTTATGGAGATTCGTTAACCGAACAGATTAAATTTATTTTTATTAACAGAAAAAAAGCTACCAGAAATTTCAAACTTTTATAATAAGTAACTTGAACTCTGGAGAATCACTTTAGCGTAAGGTTATTCAAATTCACTAAATGGTTATCGAGGAAAAAATGAAAAATTAGCTGAAAATCTCGTTTTTACTTGATAATATAATGATAATATTTATAATTGTCTGAAATAAATGCAATTTTAAAGTTTTAATTATTATTTAAACATATTAAAAAGTTTTACGCTCATTATTAATAAAGATTGAAACTAAATATTTTTTTGTTTCGAAGTTGAAATCAAGGCATATTCACTGCCAAAAATCAGTTAAAAATTTTCCATATTATTCATTATTTCTTATTTTATTCAATGTTTTTGGTCAAATTCCAAATTTTCTCTCAAACCGTATACTTTTCTTTTTAGTATAGATAGTATTTATTTACCTCATGATATGCTGCATAACCTAATTAATCACGAATTTCTAATTTTATGTAATCTTGTCTCCGATTGTACCTCCCAAACATCCTTAAATAAATAAAAGTAATTTTGACTATGCATTTTTATTTTATTTTAATTGTTTAATTCGACTTCTACTATTTTATTCAAAAGTGAGCATATAAAGCCCCGTTTATATATTGATTAGTGATTAGGTGAGTTCATACATTTTCTGCGAGATTTCCGAGGGGGGCAGCTGCCCTCCTCTGCCCCCCTGGGTACGCCCATGATGGAATATAATGACTTTTGTAAAGTAACTGTTGTCTATATTCCAAGAATTATTTAGAACAATGTTCTAATTTCTAACTTCTCGAAAGGACAATTGTTTGAAAGAGATTTAGGACCAAAAGCAGGACTCAGAATTCATCTCAAAACAAGATTTAGTCTTAAAACAAGGCAACTGTCTATACTATGAAGCGACCATTTTTAATTGTTACGTACTTATTAATTGCACTGCGATGAAGATTTTGAAAAGAAAAAAATCCGTGTAATTTTGCAAAGAACCTTGCTGTGCAAACAGTATCTATTTCGATGTTTCAAAACCGCTCAAACACGGAAATTTACAATCTCATTTCTAACTTTTTAGCGCATTTGCAATTAAATTATGTTTTTTTTTTCAATTCCGTTGAGTTATGTAAACGACTGTTTCCGGTTGTTCTGACAAGTAAAAGTCGCAAGCAAAAGAAAAGGAAAATAGCAGTAGACGTCGCAAACATCACCGCTCAAAGTGGTCTTGGCCTGTTTGTTTTCGCGGACGTGAAAACCATGATTGATTCTATTTTTTGAAAACCTAAAAATATTTCCTGGGAACCACATAAAGCGTACAAATGTAGGAGAAGAAGAAGACGTGTAAATGTGAAGGCACAGCACGTGCGTGTTGTTGCGTCTTTTTAAAAAAAACAACACACTAATACAACTCGCAGAAATTCTCGGTACGATTCTCTTTGAACTTTATATAAGCCTTTTTATTCTTTATTTACTTCCATTTTGTTACAAGTCTTTGTAAATATTCGAGCGAGGCATATGGTCGCGTTCTTAATTAACTTGGGCGAGCAATTTATTTGAAATTCCCGCACATTTCCGACGAATTTTTAACCGTGGAACGTCACATAAATCGGAAAAGTCATTTTCACGTTTCTGGAAATTTAATTTCCTTTTTAATCAACCCTTATCTTCTGAAAATGAAATTGATAAATATTTCGAAGAGGGTGAATCATTTTGCGTATGAATTTACCAGTTCAAATATATCAAAATAGTAAACAACAGCTGAATCTGAATTTTATTAGGCCTTTAAGTTGTTAGTTCATTTGCATCGTGGCAAGGGGTGGGTGGTGATTGGGTTGATAAATATGAGAGACAGACGAAATAAATGCGAAAGAAAGTGTAAAATTATCTGGAATATTACTGCCCCAGCAGTTGTCTAATTGTAAGTGATCCAAGGAACCACAGAAAAACTTAGACCAGTAATCGAACCAATTTCCTTCCAACTGCTAGGAAAAGCCTTTAGGTCGCGCCGCTTAGCGATAGATTACTAACCAAACCGTAAAAGCTTCTGAAAACAGAGTTTATGTAATATCCACAAAGAGGCAGTGTATCGCCATCTACTGGACATTTCCGTATAACTCGTCGTCAACAGGTTAAAATACCTTGGCAAGGCCTTGTATAACTCCAAAAATACTTCAGTCGCACCAAATATTCACCAAATGTTGCTTCACTGCCTCTATTTGCATAATACCAAAAGGTTTTGATGTTTTAAAGGAAGCAGCCCTTCAGTTAGCATTGTGACGATACATTAACTGGTTTATTCTGACACAATTGATAATTCAAAAAACTGTCATATATGTCTCTTCTTCATCAACAGTTCCTTATTTGTATCTAAAGACTTGACTTATTTGAAGTTTTTTCATTTATCTACTACTTACTACACTGGATTCCTTCGTTTACAGAAATCTCCTTTTTCATTTCATTTCAATCAAACGTCATGAATCAATGCGGGTTTTTTATCGTTTTGTTTTTAGTTTTCATTTATTTTTTTTTTTTTTTTGTTGATGTTGCCACAATCCACTAAGTTACAGGCGATTCCGACGTTTTTAAATAGCTTCAGCCGATGCGAAGTACATTTCATGAATGAGCATTTCTGAAATAAACAGAAATGGATACGGCCGTAATGGTTTTGCTTTTTACGGCTTTTATTACACATAAAAACTGAAAACGGATGTCTGGAGCTGAATCCATCTTTTTATTTCAATATGTTTCTGGAATCAGGCGAGATTCTTAAGTTTTTTGATCGTAAAAACGACCGCGGATGCGGTAATATTTTTATTTTTGTTGCGCTTCTTTTCCGGAGGACGAACTTGTTTGTGTACATTAAAACCGAAATTCGAAATGTATCACACTTTTATCGCGTGTCTCATCAAATGGGCACATTTTAATTCAAACCATTAAAACTACCGAAAAGAAATAATAATAATAACGCTATAAAAACATAAAACAACTACGGGGGGTCTTCCACAAATTGCACAAATAATGAACGCAGAGAGAATTCTTCCCACCCTAATGAACTCAAAACTTCGAATATTTTTTCCATGTTTCTCTGGCATCTTCATAAAACTGAATCTATCCAAAATTCACCTTGTTGCAGCTATGTTGGCCCAAACGATGGCTTCGTCGCATTCGAGAGATTCCAGCCAATCGCACCTCATGATGAACAAGACTCAGAGCCAAGTAGACTACTCGAAGTATGTAAGAAAATTCTCGTCGTCGTTAGAATGCGGGAGCACCTACTGCAAAGATCTAAACTACAGGCAAGCTTTACAGTAAACGCAGAAAAAAAAAGAACCCCACGCGATCTTTGTTGTTTTCTTTTTTATTTCCAGAGAGCATTTCCACTGTTTAGACTGCAACTCGCGCGTCTTCATCAAGAAAGAAGAGATGATCCGACACTTCAAGTGGCACAAGAAACGCGACGAGTCGTTGCAGCACGGCTTCATGAGGTACAGTCCGCTGGACGACTGCAGCGATCGCTACGCGAATTGTTCCCACAACAAAAAACAAACCCACTACCACTGTATAAAAGAAGGCTGTGATAAAGTGTACATATCGACATCTGATGTCCAAATGCACGCAAACTACCACCGGAAAGATTCCGCCATCATCCAAGAGGGCTTCCAAAGGTACAGGGCCACCGAAGAATGCGGTGCTTCGTATTGTTCATTTTTCGGACAAAGAACAACTCACTTCCATTGCAGACGGTCCGGTTGTAGATTCACGTTCAAAAACAAATCGGACATGGAAAAACACAAGACTTACCACATCAAAGACGAGCAACTGAGCAGGGACGGCTTCAAGAAATTCATGAAGAACGAAGTGTGTCCGTACGAGAACTGTCGCTTCTCGAAAGTCTGCAACCACATCCACTGCATCCGGCCCCAGTGCAACTACGTCCTGCACAGTTCCGGCCAGTTGTTCTCCCACAAACGGAAACACGAGCGCAAAGATTCGGAACTGGCCTACCGGAAGTACAAACTCGCGCAGAGCATGATGAAAACGTTACAAGACGGTAACTTAGGTTTGGGAACGCTTCCACGGGAATACGATCAGCAACTCGAAGGACTCAATCTCAGCATGTTCCATCAAGGATCCATGTCCACATACTCGAACCTTTCCAATTCCGAAAGCATGAGCGAAAGGAATTCTCCTGTTAGTTACGAAGAAGGCGAATCTTCGTCGGCCATAGATCTCAGTGGAAACGATTTTAATACGATGCCCCAAGAGGAGGCACCCAGTTGGAACGGCGAAGATTTCTGGCGGAAATACTGCCAATACTTCGGCTCACAGGAGAGTTGTGTTGAAAAATGCGAATATTCCTACAGCGAACATTTTCACTGCGTTTTGGAACATTGCGAAATGGTATTTAAGTAAGTGTTGAACCACCAGCATCGAGTCAATCAATCCGCTGGCCGAATCATTTAACATGTTTCTGTTTCTAGTTCCAAAGACGCTGTTCGTGAACATGCCAGAAACCACGAGCAACAAGAACAAGTAACAGAAACGTTCTTTGTTGCGGTTCCTCAACACGGTGGCACTTGCGAAGAGTCCTGTTTATATCAGGATAAGGAGAAGCATTATCACTGCAATATTGTAAGTCGTATTGTATGTCATATGCAAATTTAGTTAAAGACAGTTAAAATGTTTTAGGAAAATTGTCGGGAAGTGATACTGGCAACGGACAAGCCGTTCAAGAGGCTAGAGCATTATAAAATGCATGAGTATTCCCGAAAACTCAGTTTAACTAAAGATCCACTCACAATGACCTACTTGGCAACATCAATTGACGGCATGTTTTGCAGGAAACGTGGAAGACCTCCCAAAAATCGAGTCATAGAAGTTTGGAACGACTATGTAAGAAAAAGCAAACAGTTTTTCGTACCTTTACGTATTTTATGCTAGAGATAATGTATTTTTAGGCACCTATGGGCAGCCAGAGTTTAATGGACTCGCCTCAAGCCATTTTTACAAGCTTTAAACTTCCCAAGCCTTCGGCAACAGTTCCATCCAATACCAAAGAAAATGATCAGCACGATTCCAACGACGAAAGATCGAACAGTCCAACCAACAATGTAAGTCGAAATCTTACTTTTAGCCGTCAGGCTTTCCATTAACTTTTATTCTCTTTCTTCCAGCAAACTCACGATTGCTCCCTTCAGGGATTCGATCTGTACAACGAAAACACAAAATGCCCCGATTCCTTATGTCCTTATTTGGGCAACGTTCACTACCATTGCAATCAGAACCGGTGCTTGTATGTAACAGAAAAGGAAGACTTGCTAATAATGCACAGCAAGGATTTTCACGACAACATAGAAATTTTGGACGGCTTCGAGTTTTACGACAGAAACGTGGACTGTCGTTTGCCCAATTGTCCGAGCAACAAGACCAATAGACATTTTCATTGTACGAGACCAAACTGTAACTATTCCTTCGTCCAATATTCTTCAATGGCTATACACAACCAAAAGCATATCGACGAATCTGAACATCAAAAGTTATACGGTAGTTTGAATCAGATTAGGGTGAAGAGTGAACCTGGTGCTGAAGAGAAACCTTGCGACAACATACCGGAGAGCCAACAACAATTTCGGGCAATCAATTTGAGTCAAAGTACGACGACTACAGACAACAAAGTGTCGGGTAAGTGAAGTCGTGAAGCTTGGATTTTGTGGTAGAATTTAGACTGTAGTTTGAATGAATCGTTTAAAAGGTATATGAGATCCAAAATTATAGGTATCAAAGTCAAAATTTAGTTTCTTTTAGTATTTTCGAAAAATCATTTTTAAAACCACGAAAATAACACAAGGGTTAATTACTGTAAATGTTTATTAGTAAGTAATCCACAACAGGGTGACATCTTCAAGTGGAAAGATGATTCAATTTTAGTTATTATTTCATCTGAAGAAGCCACTGTATGAATATTTGTAACAAGACTTTGTGTATGTTTTCTTGGTTGTTAAAAACTATTGGTAAAGTTTTTGCTTGAGATCGTTAGTAATTGATGAAATGTAGATAAATATCGAAACGTTTTGTACATTCGAACAAAAGCACGTATCATAATAGTATCTTGTCAGCACTGTATATATAGAACACCCAGTTTATCTCTCTTTCTAGTGGTAAAGGCTTCAGGGACTTTTTATCCTCTTTCAACAATTCCAACTGCTGAGGGCCAAAAATCCCCTGAATTAAATAAATTCGTACCAGCAGGTATGTGACCTTTTCCTGTGCCTTTTCGATTCGTTCGTTGCATGATTTTTACTTACTCATTTCTTTTTCTGCTTCGTTTGATTTCTGTTTCAAAGTTGGTAAAAAACATGGTGTCGGAGTTTCGTTAAAAGAAAAAAATTACCATTAGTACAAACTGTAGCTTATTCTATTTCGATCATAACTTCAACATCTGTAAATCTTGATCTTAACGTCTAATATTCCCCTGGATTGCAGAAAATTCAACACTCGATTCACCTTCATCCAATATGGGAAGTCAAACATTGTACGGGCCAGAACTGAGTTGTAGTCGACCATTTTGTAAACTCAAAAGGAAGTTCCATTACCATTGTAACGCCTGCAATCAGGTTTGTTTTAAAATTCCTTTGTCTGACTCTTTCTCATTTATTTACTTCTTCTCTAGGCTTTCTCTGAGGTGGACAAATTAGTCACTCACGTGGCGAAACACAGCACTGGTGCCTTAAGTGGTCAAATGCAGGAAGAAGTTCAGCAACATCAACAACCCAACCCCCTAACGATCCCCACCACATCCTCATCAACTCCCACGCCTCCCACGTCAAAACCTGAACCCAAAATTAACGTCGCTCCTTTGCATTCCCTCCAAAACCCACCAATACCAAAATCCGAACCTGAAACGACAGCATCTTATCTCACCACGCCCACATTTGATGCATACAGTCACTTCACCAATTTCAACACCAACCTCGCAACCCAATTTGCCCTAATGTCCCAACAGCAAGGAATCCAATCGGCTTTTCTACCCCAAAGCTTGTACCAAAACGCTGGAATCCCCGCACAGCTCATGTTTCAACATGGATCTTTGATGCAGAGTCCCCTGCTTCCTCCTCAGAACCCCTTCGGAAGCGAAAGCATGACCTCGCCCTTGGCCGCGATGGCAGCCAACTTGAACAAAAGAACAATGAGCCCCCACGAACTGTCGCCAGAGCAAAAGAAAGCGAGGCTGCAATCTTCAATGAGAATCTTGAAAGACGAACCGGTACCTGAAGGATATCTTAGGTTTAAGTATGTACTTTTTGGTATATTCCTAATGTCTAATCCCGACTGACGGATGTTGTCTTCTTCTTTCAGATTCAATGAAGACTGTCAATATCCGCACTGCGGATACAGGGAACACCAAACGCACTTCCATTGTCAAAGGCAAGACTGCGGTTATAGTTTTTGTGACAAGACCAGGTTCGTCCAGCACACTGCCCGCCACGAACGGTTGGACACCCTGATGGGCGGTGACTTTCAACAGTACAGGGCCAACGTGGCCTGCGGTAGACCCGAATGCGCCTACACCACCAACCTTGGTAAGTACTTCTAATTCTATTCAAGCCAAAACGTGACGACACTCCACTCTCCAATGGAGAGACGACCCAAAGAAGAGGGGACGACCAAAATAGGTTTATCTTGTTTTTACTTTACGATCACTTCTTTCTTCCAGGATCAACGCAAAATAAGGCGTCCCACTTCCACTGTTTAAAATGCGATTTTGTGTGCACGGACACTAACAAGGTGGTCGCCCATAGGCGCCAACACCAAAAACTCGACTCGATCCAGGCGGCTGGGTTCGAAAAATTCACTCCCAGCCAGCAATGTAAAATAATCAATTGCCAACATAGCGGCAAACAAACGCACTATCACTGTCTGTCGTGTCAGTACGCGGTCCTTGGCTTAGCCCAAATGTCCGCACACAAATATAGACATTTAGAAGGCTAATTAAAAATCGCAACGGCCGTTTTTAACGTTGGAAATCTTTATGGGGGAACCCTAAATAAATAGAATTTATTCTTATTGAGAGTACAACTTATATTTATTTAAGTATTTAAGTTCGATACTACTTAAAAATATTTCACTCATTATTTATGAACTTTATCAAGATAATTTGTTAAATCGTTGATAATATAACATCCTTATAATATCCACAAACATTTCCAACGCTAAATTTTCCTTTTTTTTCCGGTGAAAAAAAACCAACTTAATAACTCGCGATTTATCTAATAAGTACACATAGAACTTAAGAAACAATTTCCCAGTTATTTCGTTAGTTTTACTGGCCCCTCTGTACATAGATGTGTAAAATAATAATATTATTATTATTAATTAATTACTTCAAATTAGTTTCGTAGAAATAACGAGTTCTCTGAGGCTTAGGTTGACATTAAATGTGGCTCCCCGAAAAGCCATTAGTCTTTTGTTTTTTCTTTTCTTTTTTTGTTTTGAATAAAGCTTTATTTTTGGTTTTTCACCGTACGAAAAACAAATGAACTGTATATAGGTATATACATGCATGTAAAAGGCAGCTTATATAGCAGCAAAATGACATAAATATTTTGCATGTTGTCGAACGACTTTATCAAAGTCGAAAAAGTGGCTGGATAAATAAAAATAGCAAATTATCTAAAGAAAAAAACACTCCCGCATACTAAGTGTCGTACTATTTTTATACATACTAGAAAGGCTAACGGCCAGTGGGTACAACGACGACGACGGTCTTTTATTAATGTTAAGCACGAAATCATTTTTTCGTCGTAACGATTTCAAGAAACTCACTAAAAGATCTAGATACACCCCGCTGTTGGCTGGCCTGCCTGCTTGAACTTGTCGCCGTTGTGCATTACGCAGACATGAAAACCAATTTCTCTTTTTCCACTTTTGTCGTGCATTGCATGTAACCTCTGGACCAACGCAAACTGAAGGCATTTGATCTCAATGCAGAACAGAACACCTGTGTGTCTATTTCTTGTTACCATATATTTCAAAAATACGTGAAAACAATCTCAATTTGTTTGCTAAATTTAATAGAAATATATTAGTCCAAATTATCAATAGAATGTTGCATTACTAGAGGAATTGAATGATTTTTTCCATTCAAACGTGAACCAATAATAGCAAGTGTGATGCTCATTTATCTTATGAAGATTGGAAAAACTTTGGCGATTGTTGTAGAACAAACAAAATATCTCAAACCCCAATGCCATAACACACGACACTTCAGTTGTCCGAAGCACTTTTCGGTAAGAAGGTTATCTTCTTCAGGGACTGAAGTGGACAACTAAAGTGTCGTGTTTTGGCGTTGGGGTTTGAGCTATTTGTTTGTTCTACTCATTTATCTTATATTTCACAAAATTATTGCCAAAGTTTAATACATTTTCATATCTCTGATTTATTTTTGTTTGGCAAACTTGGTCTTTTTCATTCCAATAGAGTTGGGAGAATCTATATATTTCTACAACAAATTAGTTATAATTGGGTGACAATGGTGTGATCGTACACCTTCTCAAACATGTTGATATAACTAATTGGCTCATAAAGTGCTTCTTCTCAAAGAGTTTGGTTAGTACCATTATGAAATTTCCATAGGCAGCCAATAGAAAACTTAAACTTATTGTCTAATGATACTGATACCAATTAGGTATATCGTAATTATTATTATAAACCACAGCACATAATTTAGTTTCTTTGTTTTCGAAATGTCTTGGGTCGTAATAAAACAAATAAGCCAGAATTTCGTAAATGGTATTAACCATGCAATCATTCTTATTAGAGGTTCGTGTAAAAAACGTATGCGTTTGTGTATTTTATTATATTGGGCTGGTATGCAACTGTTTTATACAGTTGTTGTGCAATATCCTGTAATATCAATGTAAGAAAAGGAAGCTACGCTGCCTTTTATTTTAAGACTTCGCTAATTAACTTTCTAATTAAGATATTTTATTTCTTACCTAAGCACCAGTCCGTTACCATTTGAAAGTGGTGCAAAACCTAAAACTATAAAAACTAGGTATTAGTAATTAAATTACCAAAGCCAAAAATGTTTAGATGCAGCAAATTAAATTAGTTGGGCTATACTGGAAGCACTTATGTAGTAGGTACCTTAAAAAACATTCGTCAATTCGTTAAGGATATTGCCTTGTGTGCACCTATTGGAATATCGAATATATTATTTCAGAAGTTTACGTCAGGAGAAGCTGTAGCTTGTTAGTTATTAAAGGAAAATGACTATCATTTTGTTTAGAGGCCTTCAATTATTTTTAGTTGCGAAAGCTTCGTTCTAGCCCTCGAGTTATGCATGCATGTCCTAGATCTGAGGTGTTTGTTTTCCGACAGAAAGGCTGGTTTTGTTTGCATATACCTATCGCACAGATTATAATCAGTTTTGTTATTTCATTATTTTGTATAGGCACGTAATAGATATATATATTGTAACATAGAGCGTAACTATTTATTAGACAGTAGTACAAATTCAAAGGGTACAATTTTACTACCTAAATACTTATTAAGGATTATTATTGTAAGTAGTCGAATGCATGCTGTGTATTATATCTGCTACTTTATGTGTAGGACAAACCGCACGCTCAGTGAAAGAAAGTCTAGTTGAACATTTGTCAGAAATAATCATTTTATATAATTATTGGTCTTGTAAAAAGTTCAATCTCAGGACTCTCAATATGGGGCCACATCAGTCGGCCTAAATACGGACCTTATATGTGTGAACGACGTCCGCTCTGTACTAATGATGTCATCGATCCTTTTTGCAGGATTTCGATCTTATAATGGCGTTCCTAATACGCAGATAATGTTCGAAGCAATTTTCGGCGTAGAAAAAGTAAAAATGCAAAAAGTCAGGGTGACACACGACTACCGGTGTTTATGTTAATACATGTCCGAAGATAATGATTCAAATTTTCGTTTCAAGCCCACTCGGTAAGGTCGTCCGCAATGGACGTGTGGATGGTATAGTACGAAACCAGAAAATAATACATTACGTACATAGATAAAGTATATGCGGCGATTATTTCGTGTTCAAGGACGCTATCGCACACATACCTGCCAACAATACATGCGGAATACATTTGTTTGCGTTAACATACATGAGGCAGTTTCAATTTTTACTAATACGATAAAATTGTTCTTTGTACGACATTTCCGGTCGGCGATGGCAGCAATGACCTTTTAATGAGACTTTAACAACACGTTCACAGAATTGAACCTAATCTATCAACCCAACTTTTATAGGTNAAATTATAATTATGTTTACATACAACGTGCGACATCTTTCAGCAAACGCTGTAACTTGTAGCTAGTTAAACGCAAGGTCGTTTTAAGAACCTGCAACTTCTGCTACTTAATCCGAGAGGGCGCCGTCAACTGTATGATACGGGGTGCAATCAAAATAAATTAAAACAAACTACAGGATGCATTCAAAAAATTCTTAAAATTATTTCAATTTTTGTTAATATCACATATTTGTGGTTTCCCTACAAATAAAACCGTGTTCGCATTACAACAGTTTAAAAATTGACAAAAACAACAGTTATTCCGAAAACGAATGCAATACTTTTCCAGGACTAATATTGTTACTAAACTTTAAAGTGTTTCAGATATTTTACGTAACTTTTCAAGTATGTAATCCTAACTGAAAAATAGCAATTCTAAGCTTATCAAAGAAGCTAAATTTCCAAGGAGTCGACCTTTGCTAAATGAACAACAGTTGTGTGAGCCAAACAATAAAAAGAAGAAATACTGATTAACACACATACTCGTTGAGGTTACGTAAACGTCAGATACAACATACAACATTAATTTATGTAAACAAAGGCGAAATTACGTTTACAGTTGCATATAAATTGTTTATCTAAAATGTGGGCATCATTATTGAACATTGTTTCATTGTGAAAACTAGCAAAATTGTCATTGTCTACAGCATGACTGAAACGATTTTTCCACTTGGTGGTTACATTTTGTTGAACAATAATTTAAGGTAAAATGCAATATTTCATCGAACTTTCTTTAAATTTAGTAATTATTTTAATAGGAGACATTAAATGTGGCTCCCCGAAAAGCCATTAGTCTTTTGTTTTTTCTTTTCTTTTTTTGTTTTGAATAAAGCTTTATTTTTGGTTTTTCACCGTACGAAAAACAAATGAACTGTATATAGGTATATACATGCATGTAAAAGGCAGCTTATATAGCAGCAAAATGACATAAATATTTTGCATGTTGTCGAACGACTTTATCAAAGTCGAAAAAGTGGCTGGATAAATAAAAATAGCAAATTATCTAAAAAAAAAAAAAACTCCCGCATACTAAGTGTCGTGGCTATACACA